AAAAGGCTTAGTAGCTCAACATTTGGTGACCCCGACGTGATCGTATCACGCGATTTTTCATTTGTTTCCGGCCGCTTACTGAGATAATTCTGCCACACTAGTGTAAACGTCAGCAACTTCGTCATGCCAGGGGAAGGTGCAGATCGAGTAGCCTTTCTAAAGCTGAAAACAAAGGCCATATTCAGCAGACTGGAGAGCTTGATTAACGAGTTGGACGCAGACAAGCTACACAGTATGGATGAGTACAGTCTTTCAGCAATGCTAGAATCCTTAGGCGAATTGAAATCCAGTTTTTCTGCCGCACACACAAGCCTAGAGGAATTGGACTTCGACTCCATTGCCAGCGACCTGCCAAGTAACTTCGATGCTGCTCTAATCAACCTTAGAGCTACACTGCAACGCGAGATTGGTAAACGTAGTGCCTCGCAACATTGCTCCACGCTCAGAATGAACTCCAGTGAGACCCAATCAATCATTGTGAACGCTAATAGCTCGCGCTTGCCATTGCTGACACTGCCTAAATTCAGTGGCGCCTACACCGAGTGGACAAATTTCTATTCAATGTTCACGTCAATAATCGACAAGGACAGCGACCTCACCAACATCGACAAATTGCAGCATCTTCGTTCCTGTCTGAGCGGCGCTGCCCTTGACACCGTGCGCTCGCTGGAAATAAACGACGCTAATTATAACACTGCATTAGATCTTTTACAAAAGCGCTTCGATAACAAACGTCTTATATTTCAGGCACACGTCAGGGAGATATTTGGGCTAGAGAGGGCAGATTCAAACGTAACCAAGCTACGAGAGCTGACAGATAAGGTCACAGCACACATACGCGCATTGCAGTCGCTCGCATCCAATGGGAAGATCGCAGATGGCATCATCGTACAATTGGTGATCCAGAAACTCGACAAAAAGACGCAAGCTAAATGGGAGGAGAGTTCATCGATCAGCGAACTGCCATCCTGGGATCAATTAGCTATGTTCTTGGAGAAGCGCTGCAGAACACTCGAGAACGTTGAGCATTCTATGCAGACACCGACTGGTCAGGCGGTAAAAGCTAACAAGAACGTGAGTACTGGTCAGAGGAAATCCTTTGTTGCTTCCAACGGCTCAAAAGGTGTTTGTGTGTTTTGTGGATCTGCCGAGCATGCAATTTATAGCTGTCAACGCTTCGCAAATTTGTCTCCGAATTTACGCCTGAGGGAAGTTAAGAAGCTTTCCCTTTGTCTTAACTGCCTAAAGACTGGGCATCAAATTCGTGACTGCAAATCCGGATCGTGCCGCGCCTGTCAGTCGAAACACCACACGCTCTTGCATTTCGAACGCTCAACTGCATCGTTAATCAATAGTCAAGCCGAAGCTTCGTCGGCAGCTACAGTTCAATCCAACGCTATGACTGCATCGTTATCTGTGTCGCCTAGTGCCCCAGTATCTCCTTCTGATGCTGTGTTCCTAGCTACTGCCGTCGTTCTGGTAAAAAAATCGTGCTGGAAGCTTCGTGCCTTGCAGGGCGCTTTTAGATTCTGGCTCCCAGTTACACTTTGTCACAACTCGCCTTGCAAACCAATTGCAGCTTGTAAAAGCAAAATCTTCTGCTACAGTATCTGGCATTGGAGATGCCAATTTCTCAACGGAGGGTTACTCAGTCGACCTCGTACTGAAGTCGCGGACTTCAGATTTCTCAACAAACATAACAGCTGTTGTTGTACAAACCATAACCGACAACCAGCCTGGCTGCTCCGTGAGCACCAACGAGTGGAATGTTCCGTCGAATATACAACTAGCTGATCCTGGGTTCAACTTACCGCAGCGAATTGATCTGCTCATTGGAGCAGCATTGTTCTTCGATCTGCTATGTGTGGGGCAGATACGCTTGGCATACGGTTTACCACTCCTTCAGAAAACACGCCTCGGTTGGGTGCTATCTGGAGGGGGGCAACAAGCTCCAAAACTATCATCTTTTGTGGTGCGACGGAAGTCCTCCAGTGATATTATTTCCACTCGGTTGGAAGATTTAGTGCGTCAGTTCTGGGAAATAGAGCACAACTTCGAGCCGATCTCTAAGGCCTCCCAAGAAGATATCGACTGCGAAGCCCACTTCCGGGAAAATTATTTGCGATTGTCATCAGGCGAATACTCAGTTCGTCTTCCCATGAAGCGTGGTGTGGAGGCCCTTGGAGACTCCTATTTGCAAGCTCGTCAACGCTTCGAAAGTCTTGAACGAAAATTCGCTCGTAACCCTGAGCTTAAAACAGAATATAGTAAGTTCATAAAGGAATATCTGGACCTTAATCACATGTCGCTAGTTACCAATGAGGTTTTTCAACAATGCAAGTATTTTCTGCCGCATCATTGCGTCATCAAGGATGACAGTAGCACAACAAAGCTGAGAGTGGTTTTTGATGGCTCTGCATCCACTACTTCGGGCTTTTCGCTGAACGACCTACTCATGGCAGGCCCAACTATTCAGCCGAAACTTTTTGATATCCTTATTAGATTTCGTACTTTTCCCATAGCACTTACTGGGGACATCTGTAAGATGTATAGGTGTGTTCGCGTCACCCCACCAGATAGCATGCTCCAATGCATATTGTGGCGTGAATCTCCTCAGGAAAACTTTGCCATCTATAAGTTAGACACGCTGACTTATGGAACTAAGCCTGCGTCATTTCTGGCCATACGTGCCATGCACCAACTCGCAGCTGACGAATCCTCGACTTACCCCATTGGTGCAGAAATAGTGCGTCGAGACTTCTACGTAGATGACTTGATATCTGGAGGCGATTCGATGGAAGAAGTACTGAATATCAAGCTACAAACAACTAGCCTCCTTGCTCGAGGAAACTTTAAGTTACGCAAGTGGTGCTCTAATAGTCCAGATATCCTTCGTGATATACCTGACGTAGACAAGGAACGTTTCCTTAAGTTTGACGATGGCAGTGACATCACCAAAGCTCTGGGACTAGTTTGGGATCCGGTCAAGGACAAGCTGCTATTTTCGTTTGTGCCACAACGAGAACTGGGTAAAAACTCAAAACGCTCTGCGTTGTCTACTCTAGCTCGCTGTTACGATCCCCTTGGACTAATGGGCCCTACGCTGACCAAGGCGAAGATTCTTCTGCAACGCATGTGGAGAGACAAGCTTGAGTGGGATGAGAGTCTACCGCAATCGTTAAACACCGCCTGGTCTGCCTTTTGCAGCGGGTTTGCAGACATACAGCACCTATCATTTCCTCGTTACGTCTTGCAACCTGGGGCCATTACAGAAATTCATGCATTTTGCGATGCAAGCCTTGAAGCTTATGGGGCTTGCGTTTATACGCGTTCAGCCAAGGATAGTAAGGTACAAGTGCACCTGTTGTGTTCGAAGGCCCGTGTCGCTCCACTGAAGACTATCACCGTGCCCAAGCTGGAACTCTGTGCAGCAACACTGCTGGCACAACTCATGGGTGAGTTTACAAAAATGAAGCTTTTTAACTGTTCATTTCATTGTTGGTCAGATTCCTCCACTGTCCTCTCGTGGCTGCGAGAAGAACCATCGAAATTTAACGTATTTGTCGCTAACCGAATTTCCACCATACATCAATTAACGGAGGGCATGCGGTGGCACTATGTTCCGACAGCAATGAATCCGGCGGACATTTTATCCAAAGGAGCTACCCCGCAGGAACTTCTAGGATCTTCACTTTGGATGCACGGCCCGTCATTTTTGCGAGAAGTGGAGGGCAGCTGGCCGCGCATGTGTCTACCACAACCAAAACTTCCAGAACTTCGACAAAAGGTGTTGCTTGCCGCACATAACCGCAATGACATTTCGCTTTCGTTCAAGTACATTAATTCATTTGGAACAATGCAGCGCATTTTTGGGTACGTCAGCAAATTTGTCAATATTACAACATCGCCAAGCTCTTCGCAGCTCACAGCCGCAGATATTCACCATGGAACTCAACTGCTTATTCGCTTAGTACAAAGAGCGCAACTTTGGCCGGAGTACACGGCATTACAGGCCAATAATTGCGTCCCGAGTTCGAGCAGCATTGTTTCGCTATCACCATTTCTTGATGACTTTGGAATTATTAGAGTCGGCGGGCGATTAAAAAACTCTATGCTTAGTTTTGAATCGCGCCACCCATGCATTATTCCGAAGGATCATCCACTGACATTTAGTATAATAACCTTTTTTCATCGCAAACAACATCACGCAGGTCCTCAAGCTTTACTCGCCTTCATTCGAATGCAGTTTTGGCCCATAGGTGGTCGGAAAACAGTCACTCGAGTCCTACAAAAATGCATTATTTGCTGCAAATCGAGACCGCGCCTTGTCGAGCACATAATGGCCGACCTGCCTAAAGAGCGAATTCAGGCCTCGCGCCCATTCATAGTCACCGGTGTGGACTACTGTGGGCCATTTTATTACAAGCCTGAAGTACGCAATAAATCGCCCCACAAATGTTATGTAAGCGTTTTCATTTGCTTCGCCACAAAGGCTGTATGGATGGAGTTGGTAAGAGACCTCTCAACAGGTGCTTTCATTGACGCGCTAAAACGATTCATCGCTACGCGTGGCATACCCAGCTGCATCTGGTCTGACAATGCGACGAATTTTGTAGGCGCCAAGAACGAGCTTAAAGAACTACGGAACTTAGCCCTCAGCGAGAAACACCGCAGCGAAGTCCACAACTTTTGCCTCAGTAATGGCTTTGATTGGCGTTTCATCCCACCTCGCTCTCCGCACTTTGGCGGTTTGTGGGAAGCGGCCGTAAAAACAGCCAAACAACATTTCTATCGTTCCGTTGGCTCATCACTGCTTGGCTTCGATGAATTGCGTACTTTGGTATGTCAAATCTGTGCTGTAATTAACTCTCGTCCTCTCGTACCCCTTTCAGAAAACCCAGAGGATTTAGATGTGCTAACGCCAGGCCATTTTTTGATTGGTGGTTCTCTGACAGCTCTTCCGGAACCGGATCTAACGACGCTAAACTACGACCGACTTGATCGATGGCAGCGTGCAACATACATTAAACAGGTTTTTTGGAAGCGGTGGACTCAAGAGTATCTAACTCTTCTACAGCAACGCGCAAAGTGGCGTTTACCTCATGCCAACATTCAAGTCAATGATGTCGTATGCATAAAGGAAGAAAACTCACCACCACTGAAGTGGCCTCTAGCACGGGTAATCGAAGTTGTCCCTGGAGCAGACGGTGTCGTACGTGTGGCACTTTTAAAAACATCTAGCGGCATAACGCGACGAGCCGTGAACAAGCTGTGTGTCCTCCCGGTGAAGGATTCTGTTGAAAGCCCTGACCTTTCAACGGGGGGGAGGATGTTCGGAGCAGCAGCGGATAAGCCAGCAACATAAAATATGTTTATCAAAATCAATATGAATAACGTTATCTGATCACACTGAAATTTTCATACTCAATTGAGCTGCATATTTACTTGTATGTATTTAAACTGTGCTAATTTTGTTTCCCCTTTATACTATGTATAAAGCATACGTATATACATACATACATAGATGTATGTGCATACGTACCACCCGCGCTCAGTTGGATACATTCGTATGCAAGCAAGCGAAAAATAGTACATATGTATGTAAGCAATATTGTGTGCGCGGGTGCATACGTGCATAAATATATATATGTAAATTCTCATGCATTTAAGAAAACTGGATTTCTATTGTTGGTGATGAATTTGCAGTTATCCAATGTAATTAGGACATACTTAAATAGTTCAAGGTGAACTTTCTGTTAGTTAGTCGCGGACCAAATCTTGTTAAATACAGTTGCTTAACTTATGCATACATCGTTTGTTTTATTTTAATAGCTGCTAAAAAGGCTTAGTAGCTCAACAATAACAATCAGCAGTATCGATTATTGTACATATCGTTAACAATATAAATGACTAAATCGATAACAAAATCAATGATTTAATCGATTATTATACCGATAACAATATCCATTATTGTATCGATAACAATATCGATTATTATATTGATTATTATATCGATTACAATAGCGGTTATTTAATCAATAACAGTATCGATTATTTTATCGATAGCAATAACGATTGTTATATCGATAAAAATATCTTCATCCTAATCCTTTTCTTCATATTTATCTTTATTTTTGCATATTCCTCTTCACCTTTACCTTAAAGTGTTTAAATTTACTTTGACCTTCGTTTTTGCCTGTACATCTAGGCATCTTTGTTTTTGTTTTTATTCTCAAACCGCTAAACCGCTGAGAACTATTTCCATGTACATTATTCCCCTTGAATTTGACAATTTACTCCCAGCCAACCACCTGCCGCTAAAGAAGTTTCACTTCATAAATTCAAGAAATGTTCTTACCCTTTTAGTTACCCTAATTCTTATGTATCTGTCATTGTCTCCATTTTCGTCTTTATGTTCACTTTTGCCTTCTATTGTTTGACTTCATCGTTATCATTTATTTCTTCATCTTCATATTTATGTATCTTTATTTCAAAGCTTAATTTTAAATGTGTAGTGAAACAACAGGCGAAACATGTCAAATTGAACATGTTGCAGCAACATCTATACACAATTCGAAAATGTTTAAACGACGGTTTTGGCCGTAATTTTCAACCAATTGTGAAACCGTAAAAACTCTGCTCATCTACGGTAAAATGCCTTTCCAACGATCTTCTTGGTTTTGAAATCGGTTCGGTAGAATCGCCAAACGAACGGAGACAAAATTTATGTTAGCGTATTAATATATAGATATAATTTTAGTCTAATAAGGTGCAAGTTTCAAACGCCGACGGATTTTTACACTTTCTCCATATAAGCATGAATTTCTTCGGAAAAAAAGCGGGAGACCGTTAGCAACAAGATTTCGAAAAATCCACAACAGGTTTTGTAAATTGCACTTGTTATATAAAAAACAAAAAAAAAACGAAAAGTAGTTTTAAAAAAAAAATCTCAAAACTCGACTAGATTTTTTAGCCGGTTGAAACTTGCACTTCATCAGACTAGAACTTTATCTAGAAAATTTAAATTTTGATGAAAATTTGTAGAATATTCCTTGATGTTGTGTAAAGTTTGAAACTGTGATTGAAATGTTTTGGCGTCAAAAATAACCAAAAAAAATGCAGCCTGAAAAAGATTACGAATATTAAGAAAAAATCAACACTTGGTAATTTTTTTTGGTCACTGTATATGCAAAGGTAATACAAAATTCAAAAACAAAATGTAATTTAAATTTTTGAAGAAAAATAGGCAAATGTGAATAATGCAGATGCCAAAAAAAATAAGGACATTAAAACGGAAACATCGTGGATTTATTTCTTTTCGGAGTAGGCGTGAAACTTTGGGTCCCTCCTTTTGGTTGACAACATCAAGGAGAAGCTCGGCCAAGCATAAACATATCGTCGTTTAAAGTACAAAACCGCGTATATGAGGTTGCATAAATTATTTTCTAGAGAGTAAAAACACTCATGTTTCAAAATATTTCTCGTTTTTATAAAGCAATCGCATTTCTGGCTGGTATATTTCAGCACGAATGGATAAGGATTGAGCCACGAGCTTGTGTGAGAATATCCAATTTTTGGCAGCAAATGTCAATTACGCGGTTTTGCAGAATGGAGATACTCACTTTTGTACTTTAAACTAATTAATTATTTTAATTTAACTATATATTTTGTTGTTTTAAAGAGAAAAAATATTTGTTTAATTTCGTTTTATTTTTAGAAAATTATTATTCTTTTATTTATTGTACTTAAACGATTTTTTTACTTTATCTAACTTTAGGAACTTAAAAAGCGTTTTTATTTTTTTAATATTTGGGTGATTCCATACAAAATTGACACCTCAACATTTTTTTGTTTGGTGTGAAATATATTTTTTTACATTCTTTATCGGAGAAATAAGACACCTATTTCATATTTCGTCAGGATATTCGAAGATCTGGAAAAAACTATTTGTCGAAAAAAATCAGTTAAGTAACAAAATGTGCTTAATTATCTCGGGTTTGCATTACAGTTTGAGATAGATTTAAATAAATACTTTTTTGCGTTATTTTCTTTTATATTTTCTTTATTGATTATGCAATGTTTGATTTTTGTGTTTTTTATAATCTAAATAGGTGCCAAACTTTATGGTATCTGAGAAAGAAAAAACCAAAACTATAGAAGTTGAGGGTTTTTTCATGCCTGAGTACAAAATAAATTTAACTTTCTTTTAATTTTTAGATTTTATTGTTTTAAAAAGGAATTTGGTTTACATTACGATATTAAATTTTTAGAAAACTTATTTCTAAAACAACCAACCAACAGAATAGCGCTAAGACCTCCTTGTTAGCAGAGGCACCCTGAAATTGTGCATATGGAAACTGTGCATACGAAATAATGCATATGAAAAAAACCGAAATAATGCATACGAAAAAAACCGAAATAATGCATATATGCACAGTTTCGGTTGAAAACCGAAATAATGCATATGAAAAACCCGAAATAATGCATACATGCACACTTTCGTTTTAAAACCGAAATAACGCATATGAGAAAAACGAAGTAATGCATACATGCACAGTTTCGGTTCAAAACCGAAATAATGCATATGACAAAAACCGAAGTAATGCATACATGCACAGTTTCGACTCAAAACCGAAGTAATGCATATGACAAAAACCGAAATAGTGCATACATGAAAACGAACTTCTTTCTGAGTAGGCGGCCTTTGGCCGCGCTTAGGGATTA